ATAGAGGAGGAGAGAAATGGATTCAATGCATTTTCTGTAAAGAGTAGTGCCATATTGACTGTTCGGGATGGGAAACTGATATTTTCATTTTTGAGTATTGCAAAGACGATCAGTTTGTTTTGACAATACCCATCTCTTAATTATCGAAACTTTCCGATACCTTATTCCTACTCTAAATATTTAGAATCTTAATCCCGAATCACGAATTTTCCCATTTTCAATATTGAAACCTTATAACTAAAATACTAAACTGTGTGAACAAAAACAAAAACTTCTTTTAAGAAAAAACAAAAATTACAAGAAAAAAAACAAAATGGTATTCCATATATGGCACATCTATACGTACGTAGGTACCACGTATCCAGTAAATCTAGGATGTGTATTTTTATTTATGTATTTATCCATTACTTTAATCATTGTTTTAGAATTAAATAAACCAAACCCAATTGAGCCTTGAATAAGTCCAGCCACATGTTTATTGCCTGCACGCGCAAAGGCAATCGGAGACTCTAATAATTACCTTATCGCGAACTGTACGTGCTCACCTACGTGTTTTTACTTGTTTTTCGTCATAAAATTGATAACAAAGCTATAATGCGGTTTTGTTTGGAGCGATTGCATATAAATAATTACCGTCATGAGTAATACCTATATTTGCAGTTAGCTTTATTATTACGAAATCCTACGCCAGAACAAAAGCGTGCCATTAGGGCTTTTGTAAAGCCATCAGGATTAAGAGCAAAGTATGAAAATACCTTGCAAGATGATTCTATACAGTGTATATCAGCCAAAGCGAATAAATTCGATAATAAATGAATGGGGGCGTTTTCTAAAAAACGCTCGGACATGCTGATTGGTATTTTTAGTTGCAAATTTTTTTCAACAAAAACTTTTTATACAGTGTGTTATGTTACAGTGGCCAATACCAACTTTTAAATGCAACAACCTGTATATTATTCAATTTTTGAGAAGTCTATATTTTATGTGGAATGTGGTATACCTATCTTCAACTATTTCGGAAATATTAAGTGTTATTAGATAATATAGTCTTTATTTCTGAACTTTTTACAATACATTCGTATACTGGTATCAATTCTCAAACTAATTAATTGAATTCAGTTGTAGGTTTTAGGTAGTAGCTACAATAACAAATAACAGTCTTGACCAAATATAAGCCATTCAAATTATATAAGCTATAACTGAATATTCGACTAAGTTCCAGTTTATTCATCTTCAAATAAAGTAAGTGGTAATTGTCTGCAAGATAAATTTAGCAATCTTTAAACCTATTGATTGACAAATAGGATTAGGATTGCGTTTTTATCTGCAATCAGACAGTGTCAGATTGCATTACCTGATAGTTTATCAGAAGATGAATAAACCGGGCCTAAATATATTTCAAAAAAAACAAACATGTATTCCCCTTATAAGAAAAAAATAAACCAAACAGCTATACATGAGTGCATCCAACAAAACAATGAGTGAATTCAATTTAGGTACCTACTTGGTTTTATACATTTTCTAAAACTAATAACAATCCAACCTTTTTTGCAAATAAAGCAGGACTGGATATTCATGAAATTTTCATTGATGAGGAATTGTAAGCCCCCAAAGCACGACGAATTATATTATTCTTCCTTACATCTGTCCTCGATCTTGGGATATATATTTAACTACAGTTTCTAGTTAGATGGTTATGCAGGCCACAGTTTTTCTTAAGCATTATTTTGGATTTTATTTGACCATTTAAATTTTTTTTTTATTACCTAGTTTAAATTCTTCCAACTTGATTATCTGTTCTATTTTCATGAATTTGAAATTTGTATACATCTCACTGGTATGGTAAAGTCTTGGAAGGTTATAGAGAAGCTTTATAACACGATTTTGGAGTCTTAGTTTTTTTTTTGGATTATTGTGTTCGTGCCCATAAAGTACTCATATAATGCACTTGTAATTTAAATAGCGATTCATAAACTGATGCTTGCCAAGTGTGCACATTTTCTCATTGCACCACAAGCACTGGAAAGTTTTTTCTGTAATTTTTCAATATGAAATTTAAATGACAGAGCCTCGTCCACTGTTAGACCCAAGTACTTATAAGTTTGCGCTTTTTTTAAAATTGTTTCATTTTGTTTATTTTTATTATTTTAGACCCAATTTATTTTTTTGTTTAAAAATCATATAAACAGTTTTTTTAACATTTATTAAGATTGTTTTTTAGTAGCCACATATAATAAGTTTACTTGTTTACTTCAGTATCTATCATTTTTGAACATTTGCCTTGAAAAAGCAAATCTGTCATCTGCGCAAATTATGTAGTTACATTTTTAAATGGCTTTGCTTAAACTGTGCTCATAAAGTAGATAAAGTAAGAGCCCCAGGACCGATCCTTGTGGAACTTCAATGGTGAACAATTTTGTAGAGCTGGATTTTTCATTTACGATAGTATATATTGATATCTATTTGACAAGTATGACCCAATTAGACTGTGAGCAACACCTTGAACTAGCTTCTTGTATAATTTGAATAAGTTGTCCAAAGTCATCAATATCACTGCTCTGTAATTTCACAGCTTTACTTCCAAACATTACTTTATTCAGGATTTTCATCCTATGAGTATAGTTTAAGGGTATTTTTCAACTTTTTTCTTTTTTATTTCAATAAGCTAGATGTTATGATACATCATATCCATATCAAAGAATTGCATTTCAATTTCAGAACAGTTGTTAATGTTACTTAGGGCACGATCCAATGATCGATCAATGATTGTTTGTGTGCGTTGTTGTAGGATTATTTTCTGTTTGTGTGGTGTATGAAAATAGACTCAATACAACCTTTAGAAAGGCCTGAACAATATACATACTCCTAAAATGAAATTCAACTTTACACTACCTGAATGATCAAAATGAAATATTTGTAGGCCTAAGCTCACAAAAGAAATCATTTGAATATTTATCAATGGATGAATAATAAAATTGAAAGGTCGAAACGTAAATTTTACTACTAAGTTTAGCAACCGATTGTCCCTAAAATGAGGAGATTAAAATTGGAGGGTAATGGCACAGCTTGTAATGGCGCCAACTTGTGCTCTTTCAAGAAAGACAATTACAACACTGGATAAACAATTATTTCTAAAAAGCAATTCATCTAATTTCTTATCAGATGTTGTACGGTGAGCGTAGTAAAATAACGCTAAATATGAATGAAATCTTTACAAGTCGCTTTATACCATTCATAAATCTTTACGTTTAGGTAGCCTACGTAGACTCTCTTATACACCTGGTCAATTATTGTTTCCTAACAGGTGTCTCGTAAACTACCAAGTAAGTTAATGACCAGTTCCCTAATTTACGTGGCACGCTAAAGTTTTTTTTTTTAAATATAAATTAAAAAAATAGGTACTTCTTTAAATTTCACAATTCGTAGCTATATTACGATAAATATTTTGGTACATTAATAAGCGTTTAATATTAGTTCATTGACGTTTCATGACCTGAACAAAATAATATGTAGAATAAAATTTTATGTTGTCGTAATTACTTAACCTTGTTTCGTATCTTGCCATCAATAACAACAAAGCGCTCAAAATGTATGTCTACACATAGGGTGTTTCTGAATCGTACTCGGCTTTATTAATTTCTTATTTTTACACGCATTAACCTAATTTTTTGGTAGCAAGTCATTAATATACCTTTTCTTGGCATCATCACTCACTTAAATCGGCTTAATCGGAAATTTCCTCAAGTTTCGATTTTAGAATGCTATGCTGTAATTATTGTTTCCTTGTAAAGGTTGACGAAAAATAAGACTAGACTAAGGTTTGACCCTATTACCCAATGACATCAAAACACAGATAGACGGATCATCCCATTCATAAACTATTATTTGTTGTGTTGACAAGACCACCCATGGGCCAGGGGAGGTGAGTTGCTCGCGGGGTCGGGGTAGGGAGACATCATTGCTCAAAATGGTGTAAAAAACCTCGCCCACACGTGAATATATCTCGAAATTTAATTGGATGAATAAATAAAATAACAAATTGACAAATAAACTGAAAATATTCGATACGAGCCATTTATTCTGGGAGTACCAATATCGTGTTAGTCGTTTCTTGTTTAACGCTAATGAATAATCCCTGTTTGCAATAAAGATAGCTAGCTACTACAATCAACACCTGCCTGCCATTCAACAAGCCGCTTCTGGGCGGTGTTTTGCTATAATCTGCTGTTGCCAAATTGAGTTCAGAAATAAAATTGAAAATGTTAATTAGAGGAGAAAAATATATTATTTAGGGATTCAAGACAAAATTTGGCATTCTCAGTGGTGGGGATAGCACAAAGACCCAAAAGAGACAGAGAGATGTTGTCATACGAAAATTTTGTTTATTGTTCGGTCTATCTGTGTTTTGATGTCATTGCTATTACCTCTTAATTACCGCTGATATAGCGTTGGTAGCACTGGTAGAGTCAAACCGGAAGTAACCTAATTTTTGCAGAAATGTTAAAAATATTTTTTCAAATAAGCTAAGGCTGAGTCAACACAAAAATGTCAGTACCTGTAGAATAAGTTCAGAATCATTTGATGGAACCTAAAAAAATAAACTGGGACATAATCAATAAGACAAGAATATAGAATGCTTAATTCAAATTAGAAAAAAAAAACTTAAAATGGAAAATCTGGTTACAAAATAGTAAGTTTTTAGCGTATACCTAGCCCCGTATTCTTTTGCAGTGTATTGATAAAAATGTATTTACGTTCAAAAGTAGCCTAAATGTGGGGCATTTTCAAAAAACTTTTTGTATTGTTATTATACATTAAAACCCAAATAAACACATGAACAGTAAAATTTGTATAATGAGTACGTATATAGAGAGGTACTGTTGAAGGGATCTTTCTAGCCTCTCAACGGCGCCGTACCTGTCAAGCGTACCAGGCAGAATCGTCTTGAGTACGGGTATTACCTTCTCGAAGCGGTTAGCGTCACAGAGTCGACGTAACCTTCCGAATCTGATTTCATTCATGTCTTGGATGGAGCATAGTAGTACGTTTCGTGAATTGATCAAAGTAGGACTTTGAGAGAATTGTTGAAGTTCTTACGCAATTTCCTTATTGAGCTATACGTAAGCAGTGACTTTCATCTGAGAAAGATTTCAAATTAATTTTATTTTTGAACTTTAATACCAATTGTTTAAAAGAATAACAAAACCATGTATATCGAAGGCATTACCGTTTTAGTGATTTTCAATTTTTGTGTCAGCACCAGACTACCTCTGGAAGTTTTTCAAAGATATCCTACGGAACATCACCATCATAATCATAAAAATCATTTGAACAGTGCAAATTTCCATAGAAAAAAACTACAAGACCTCACATCAATGAAAGTGTTATATCAAGTCGGTGTAAGTACCTGATTGTTTACATATTTTTATAATTTATTCATAATATCAAATTATTACTTACATAGGTAATACCTAGGTATCTAGGTATATTTTTTAGATCAAATGTTTTTAATTTAAAATTCAAGATTAATTTGCTTATTTCTTTATTTAATTGAAAAATTGCATATTAAGAATTATGAAAATCAAATATTAAAAGTAATGAGATATCATGTGCCGTTCAGGTAACTATTAATAAGAAAACACAATATTATTTTCCTAAGGTTGTTGGAATCAATATTTTTTAAAGGAAATTTAAATGCATTAATTGAGTATCTGAGTAATTTGATGTCAGCAAAATCAGACTTTATTAATATTATAGCTGCGGAAAGGAAAATTAAGCCTGCAGTATTGAAATCCTACTGCCAAGTTTTCATATTGATTAGGTACCTATTACAAATTTATCAATGTAAAATCATAAGTTGAATATGTTGTAATTTCCGTTAAGCTAATGTTTATGTGACCGGTATAATTATTTTTGGTTTTGTACGCGAAATGCTTGTGTTTCATTAATTCCTAATTTAAAAAAAAAATATCTCTTAGAGCCTTTTGATTTAATGGGAAAGTGTACACAAAAATTATTGAATTAAGTTCAATAAGCTGAATGCTGAAAGTAATGATTAGAAAAACTATTTTAGCTGATAATGTTGTCTAGTTTTCACATTATGGCTGCTTCTCAATAAAGTAAAAGGGTTCATGAAGTCAACATAAATTACGGTTTTCTAAACACAATCGGTACCTATCTGTGTCAGTTATGTAGCCAAAAAAAATAAAAATCGCAAGTTCAATAATTAAAAAAAAATCTATATATTGGGATGATGGCGATCTAGTTTGCATCAAAAATAGCTGATTTGTATAGTAGGTACAATAAAACGGTATTTTCTTCTATGATTTTTTGCACATTATGATAGTGCCATTTTTTCGTATGTGCTATCATAAATATGTGAACTTACTGCTTTTTAGTTTGTGACCACTATTTTAGACCTAGAACGATGAAGGAACTTCATAAAATTAGGCTTAATTTTTCTAGACCTTCTTCTTTTTTAGATTTCAATCTAATTTGGTATTAGCATTGCGGGCTTTCCTAACTTTTAATTACCATTCTTCGTTATCCTTTCTAACTAAAATATATATTTTTAGTATTTATAGATATTTTAATGGACATTTTGGGATCTTTAAAACCCTGAGTTAAAATAAAAGGTTCCCCTATTTTAATTGGAACGTTTTAATGGGTTTTCTGTTTTTTTTTTTAGGACTGCATTTGGTTGTTTTTTAACGATCCGAACTAATTTATCTTTTAGTTTAACCGTTTAACCGGCAAACTGGCAGTAAAGTAGAAAAATTAGGTATACTTTTAAGGAAATTAGAACCAAAATAGAAGGTAGGAAACTACGACTGGGGATTGAGGATTTTTCGACCTTTTCTGAAATATATTATACAAATAATGACAAATGCAAAACGAAATTTCTGAACTTGACACAGAATACGCAAATAGCAAACAACCGAAGCTTCTGAGCTTGACACAGGTGCCAATCAACCAATGAGGAATTAAAACTTGTTTTACAGTGAAAAAATTATATTTTTCTATTAATATGCCTGCATTTTTATATTTGTCAAGAAAGTAGCTACATAAATCTTCAACTAATGCACATAATGTTCAAAAGGCAAAACACTGACGCAAATATTTCAAAAACTTAATACAATTGACGTGCGTCACGTAAAAAAATAGTCGCACCAAACATTAATAATGATTTTTTAATTACTTACTGTACTATAATAAATTGGCTTAATTAAACTGATCATTACCCAAAACTACTTTTATGTTGAAACATGACATCATCCATAAGATAAAATAGTGTTTCTCAACAATTGTCACGTTTATTTAGGATTTAGATCAATAACTGTAATTACTTGAAAATATTCTTAAGCGATTCTTCAAAACTCCAGGGATTTTAAATTCATTAAATACATACGCTTATTTTCCTGTATCAATTGTATGGTATTTGAAGACAATTAATCTTTGTCGGAAAACCAAACCAAGGACATATAATTGTAGAACATAATAATGTTTTACTTCCTTGAAATGTAGGATACAAAACAAAGCTTAAAAGCGATATTAGGCAATCGCGGCTGTTTTATAAATTGTATTCGAACACAAATTACTATAAGAAAGTACAATAATAACTCTAATAACTTCCTTCAAAGCAAAGATTTCGTCTTTTTTATTCACTTTTAATATATCCGGCGCTGCTAGGTACAAACGCATTTTTCATTTGACTTGAAATTGTTAAGCTCAGATTTTTATTTGAGATGATGAGAAAATAACACCTAACAGATATATTTTGACTCTTACATAATAAAGTCTTTTGTCCATCACTAATTCAATCAGGGGCTACTTTGGAAGTATATTTCATTATACTTATATTTAGGATGAGTCCTATTGTCACATTGTTATGTACAGCTTTAAATAGGTCCTTAAGCTGTCCGATAAAATGTTGTCCTTTTGACACAGGAAATTACGTATTAGAAATATTCTCACATAATTTGACAATTCTCACCCTTTATATTATAGTCAACAATAGTTCTTGTTGAAACAATTCAACATTCATTGAAGCGCGTTTTGATGCTGCTTGTTGCTTGTTGATTTAATTTCCATTTATTGTCAATTGTAAAGACTAAACTATATTTCTAATTAATTTAAAAACCCAAAAGTATATTTTTGAAAAAGGTGAAACTCCTAATTGCCCTATTTCTGCTAATAAAATTGATAAAAATAAAAATAGGAAAAAATCAAATTAAAAATATAGGTGTTTATTGCAGTATTTTAAAGGTACGCAAAAGGTCCTAGACTGACAAAAGGCAGCTCAAAAAAGGCCAGAACGGAAGTAGCGGAAATAAAAACTGATGGAACACTTATCGTTGGGCCCTAAATCGGTCCCATTGTACACCGCTCAATAGAGAGGAAGTGAATTCATGATGCAGACTCGCACTTATAGTAAACTTTTTCTGGGCTGGATTAGGCCCTATGCGTCTATGAAAAAACGACATATACCTAAGCTAGATGATCATAACAATTTCAAATGCAATATTAATAATTCATTGCGTTTCTTGGTATTATCACTTCCGCACTAACTATTTGAATATATGATTATCAGAACCTACAAAAATTAGTCAACACTAAACAATGATATTTGACGACACATTTAGGGCCGGTTCGACAATTCAAGTATATCCTGCCTGGTATAGGCTATACCTAGCATAAAAGTTTATTTTTATATAGGTATAGCCTATACTGAGGATATAATGTAGGTAGGTACTTGAATTATCGAACCGGCCCTTAGTGTTTGTACTAACAATTTTTGGAATAATTATCAAACATTCTAAATAAATCACATACTTATTTCAAATTAAATAATGGTCATTCAATCTGTCTGTGTATATAATCTTCAAGATCTCCGGGCGACACGTATATCCTTTTTCAAAGAACGTAGCAATTATAAAGCTGTAATTATATTAGGATGTTGCGATACATTTTCAGTGGGAGGAAATAATTTTAAACCAAATTAGTCCCGTCCTGTTCCGAGATTGAAATGCCAATGTTTACTGTCCTAACAGTGACCGGTTCTAAGAAATTCACATTAACTCGGATATCCGTTGGTAGAAGAAAAGAAGTTCGGTTCAAAACCGGAACTTCATCTATATCACAATAAGCTATTACGCTTTGGAGCACAAAAGAAACAAACCATCTTTTTCCTTTGCTCCCTATACCTGTATATAGGAATAAACTGTTCAAGACGAGTTTTTGAATTTTACCTGAACTTATTTTGTAATGAAATTTAAATCTGGAAGCTTTTTATAAGTGTATTATAATAATTGCATATAGGGTCTTTTTTTTTCTTCTAATTTTCAATAATTTATTAAAAGTTTGCCAATCCGCATTATTTTTAGGGCATCATAAAGAAATCATCAATGTCGGATTTATAGTAATCTCGTTTCATAACCAATGTCGTTGTTACTGGCTACTCTGCTGTTTTTATTTTGAATAACTATTTTCAAATATTCTTGAAAAAATTAATCCATTTATCATATATTCTATTTCTTTCTGACCTCTTACTGTATATTTCTATTTCTATTTATTTATCTTATCAGCCTTGAACGTCTATTTGGGCATTGCAAGACTAGGAGACTAGACCCAGACTTTTAAAATCTCCTCGAGATCAAGAACAATACCTTGACCAAGACTTACTCTCGAGAGTCTCGTAAAAGTCTCGGTCTCGAAAAAAAAAATTTGATACAAATCGACTCCGGTAAACTATCACTAGAAGGGTTCCACCTAAACTGTATACGGTAATCTCGATGGTTATTATCCATGAACATTCTTTCTGCCATTTTGGCCAAATAATGAATAAATTACCGCAAGTTGTTTCTAGTAGTTCATCATCCTCATTTAATTTATGTTGACGTATAGTAGCCACACCCGCTCCTTTTTATTTTTTTCTTCATTTATTTCTCTTCCTGTTTTGGTGTTGAAGTCTTCTATTTGGTACTAATTGTAATTTTGATTTCTTTATTTCTAGAGTGATTATTATCAATTCGTAGAACTTTTTCATATCTTTATCGCTATAAATGCTTTTACCAGCGTTTACTTGATGACTAAACAGTAAGTACCTATAACGGTTTAACTTTGAAAATATTTTTATCCAGTTTACATAATATAAGAAGCCTGCAAAATAATTTATGTTTCCTTTGGCACACCTAGTTCAACACAGAGGAGGGAAATTCAAATGGCACATTCGTCAAAACGAATCAGGCCCCAGAATGTTTTCTAATTTTTTGAGAAGGAACTTCGTTTCTATACTTCGACGTTTCTATATAAACTTACTGTTTTCATATGCAAACTGATTATTGAACAACTGAACACCTAATTAATTTTAATATTTCTCTCACCTATTTCTATTTGCTAC